AGTTTGATCCCTGGTACCAAAAAAAAAAAAAAAAATGTAACAGACAGCCAATTTGTCAATAGCCGTGACTGGAATGAGGGAAGTGGAACAATTCCCTGCTTCGCAAGCACAAGGACCCGAGTTCGATCCCTGGTACCAAAAAAAAAAAAAAGAATGTAACAGAGAAGACTGGGAAGGATAGGCCAGTCAGTAAGGTAAGAGAACCAAAAGTAGTGATATCCTACAGGCCAAGTGAAGAGACCATTTCAAGGAAGAGGGCATTTAACCTGTTAAAGGTTAATGATGGAATGAATGAGATGGAGATTGACTCCTAGATTTGAAAAGATGCAGATCAACAGTGATCCTGATAAGCATATCATGTGCCAGGTGATATTTCAAATTATGTTCATGTATTATCTCATAATATCATGAGTAGATACTATTTTTATACAGTCATGCATAAATAATGAGGTATTGGTCAAAGACAGACCACATATATAACAAACAGTGGTCTCCTAAGATTATACTGGAGATAAAATCACCTTATACTGAAGTTCTACACATTATACACATTTGGGGTGATATTGATATGAACCTACCCTCTGATAGTCAAATAATATACTCACATAAAGTTATGTATAATAATACTTGACAATAATAATTTTACTGATTTGTCTTTAATATACTATACTTTTCATCATTATGTTAAGGTATGCTCCTTCTACTTATGAAACAAAGTTTATTGCTATTCAGTATGTCATATTATACCAGTAGGAGCTTCAGACAACTTGCCTTTACCACTTACCTTGATTGCCTCAAGAGGCCATACCAAGTATTGACTTATACTATATCTAGGATTGATTCAGTACATTCTATGATGTTCACACAATGAAGATATCATCCAATGACAAATTTCTCAGAACGTATCCTTCTCATTAAATAATGCATAACTATATGATTCTTATTTTACTGATAAGGAATTTTAGAGGAGTTAAATATAAATGTTGACCAATGCCACTCAGCTGATAAGTGGTGGAGCCAGTACTAAATCTAGGTTTGTCTGACACCAACACAGTCACCTGGGTAGGTAAAATGGGGATCAGAGAAGTAACAATCTCATATAACTACTTTACTATTAAATATGATAATGGTAACAATGTGATACATACAATACCTTGTACATGATAAATAAGAAACAAAACCATTTTTATGTTTACTTTGTTACATAATACTAAAAATATTCCTGAAATTTGTCTTTATTTGAAATTGTTTTCAAACTATAACTAGTTTTAAATTGGTTTTATTATATTTGGGAGTCACACGTTTTCACAGAATTTCATTTTCAGTTTTACAGTAAAAACAAAGGAGAGAAATAGATTTGAACACAATGATTTATTTTATAGATATCTTTTTAGAAACATTTTCTATTTTATAAAGTGTGACACACTTACATATAGCTTCATCACCAAATATATTTTTAAAAAACAGATCATATTGGAATTTCAATTGGGATTGCACTGAATCTATACACCAGTTTTGGAAGTATGGCCATTTTCACTATATTGGTTCTTCCTACCCAGGAGCGAGGGATGTCTTTCCATTTTCTTACATTCTCTTTGATCTCTTTTTTTGGAGTGCTATAGTTTTCAGAGTAGAAGTCTTTGATTTCTTCCATTAGCTGATTCCTAGATATTTCATTTTTTTAATGATATTGTGAAGGGAGTTGTTTCTCCAGATCCTCTTTCAATGAGTCTGCTGTATCACTGGTCATTCCAGAGATGCAAATGAAAACAATGCTGAGATTCTACCTCACTCCAGGAAGAATAGCTGCTATCATGAAATCAACCAACAACAAATGCTGGCAGGGTTGTGGGGAAAAAGGATTCCTTCTTCACTGTTAGTAGGAGTGTATAATGGTGCAACTACTGTGGAAACAGTATGGAGATACCTCAAAGAACTACGATTAGAGGTCCCATTTGACCCAGCTACTCCCCTACAGGATATCTTCCCAAAAGAATTAAAAGAATCATACCACAGCGATATATGTGCATCCATGTTTACAGTGGCACCATTTCTAATAGCTAAAACTTGGAAACAGCCCAATTGCCCATCAACTGGATAAAGAAAACATGTTTTCTTAATAAAATGGAGTACTACTCAGCCATAAAGAATGAGAAATTAGAGACATTTATAGCTAAATGGATGCATATTGAGTTGATACTATCAAGTGCAATAAATAAGACACACGTGTAAATACTGAATAGTTGCTCTGGTGTGAGAAACTGAAAGTAAATAAGGATCAAAATGTATAATAGATAATGTGAAATAGGAAAAAAGGTCCAAAGACAAAGAGGAAGTGGGAGGGGTTGGAGAAAAGAAATAAGGAAATGGAATAAATATGAGCTAAGGAAAAAATGGAAACAAGTCTTTGTAAAATAGGGAGAGGGGTGGAGGGGTTAAAGGGAGGGCAGGGGAATGGGGAAAAATAAGAACCAAGATATATTACATAAAGATACAAATTTCGAATGATGAATGTCATTATATTGTATACCTAAAATGTATCAATAAAATTAATTTAAAAGTGATCATATTAATCACCACCCATAAAATTATATAGTTGGTTCTCTGTAGATTGGGGATTTTTAACCTATGGTCCCTTTAGGGGTTTATGATAATATTCATGTGATTAGTTGAAATGGGAGAAATTTGTCTTTATCTTCACTAATCTCTGAACATGGAAATTTAGTTCAATGTGGAGGGCAGGTATAAACACAGTAGTATTAGGAGTACTTTATATTTTGTCACCAATAGAAATCACAGATGTCTTCACATCACATTACAATTCCAGATTACCTCAAAATAGTATTTACACTAATCACTACTTGAAAATGATGGCAGCTATTATTAAACCTATTAGTAGATATTTGTTATGGTTTGGGTCTAGATGTCCACCCAATGCCTCATTTGGTCATAGGTGGGTGAATCTAGAGTGTGTGATGCTAGGATTAAGTGTCTGTGATTACTAAACCATTACACCTAAGTGATTGGTTTGGCACTGCCCTAATTCTGGTAGTCTGAATAAGATAAAAGGAGCAGAAAGACACTGTTAAGGTCCCTTGTTGCTTCTACCGTCTTCTACCTCCTTCTGACACTCTGCCTTGGAGCCAGTTGATTATTGGACTGAAACCTCTACAAACTATAAGCCAAATAAACCTTTCCTCCTTTAACTTTGGGTGCTGGGTATTTTGTCTGAGGAATGAGAGAAAGTAACTAATACAGTATCATTCAGTAAATTTACTTAAGATCATAAATTACTACGTATTTTTTCACTTGAAAACCCTATTCAGAGAAGGGGTTAAGAAATGGCACAAAACATGGCTAAGAACCTGATAGTAGCTTTGCTTTCCCCAGGTTTTCTCAAATGAATTTTTACTGTCACCTACTGGAAGTGATTGATCAATACAAGTGAAAAGTCTACTATGCAGGCTATTTTTAATCAAGCATACATACTATATTAGTGGGCATGTGACAAATAATTTTATGTCTTTATATGTCAAATTTGCTTAACAATCCGTGAATTGACTAGGTCCTTTAGCATCTCTAACCAATTTCTTTTTTTTTTTTTTGGTACCGGGGATCCCACTCAGGACCTTGTGCTTGCAAGGCCAGCGTCAGAACCACTGAGCTAAATCCCCAGCCCCCAATTTCTTAATTTTCATTCTTTTTCA